TTAAAAATAATTTTATAAGTGTATTTCGAGTATTAGATCTAACGTAATTTAACATTATCGATGCAATCTATCAATGCGTTCAGAGATTATATTGATACTGAAGGCAAAGTTATTCCTAAAGGTATAGAAATCTTAATTCGATACATAAATATTGCACCTTGCAGTTCGACATAGTGTGAGCGCGGATTCAGTAATATGAATATCATTTTAAATGAATAAAGAAATAGAATATTTATTGAAAATCTAGCAAATCTGAACGGCCCACTACAACAACTATTTAATCCAGATAATTTTGTAAAAATTTGGGTAAGATCTCATCGTTCAACCGGTGCCAACGAAACAATAAAAATTCAACTGCAAGATCATGAACATAAACCTATTTGTGTTTTTATGTTAAAACTGTTAAAAATATTTATGTAGTGTTGTTTGATATGCTATGCTATATACATAATATATACATACATATATATATATATATATATATATATATATATATATATATATTAGGGTGGTCCTTAATATGGACATTTTCGAATTTCCTTGCTCCTAAGGGCTCAAATGGTTCCAAATTGATAAAAAACAATTCTCTGAAAGTTTTAGCACTTAATATTGGCTTTTAGATAGTGCGCAATTCAATCAAACTTCTTGGAAATAATATGAAAACTTACGTTTTCGTAGGACAGATTCACTTTGATCAAAATATTTCCGTAAATTGTGCTACATTAATAGAAGTAATTTACCTATTTCAAGAGTACATTTTATATGATCTACTTAAAAATCCAATCCAGTGTAGCAAAATAACCATCTCACGCATAAAAGGGATTACTTGTAAATACAAACCAACTTCTAGATTACAATCCGAAATACAAATAAAATTTACAATGAGCAATATTGAACCATTGCATACAATATATAAATCAACAAAATAAATCAACTAAAGAAATATAAACCCAATACTTACTTTAATTATAGAATTTCGTCACGAATAATTGACTTTTTCAATTGGAAATTACAGTTTCTAAAGAAAATGAATTGAATTGAATTGAAGAGAATTTTCGTCATTTGTTGAAATGCTAGATGCTAATAACGCTTATTTCTAACCTGAAAATAAAGATTTAGTGAATAATTAAAAATATATAGTACATATATTCAATTTTATACAATAAAATTTAATAATTCTAAACTTGGAGCATACCTTTGCTTTTTCTCAAGCTCAACCAAAGGGCATTCAATAATATATCTGATACAGCCCATTAATTTAGGTCTTCGAAGTGTGGTTAGACTAATGGCATATTTTTCGTAAACAAAGTTTCATATGGGGTAGCTATTGAATTAAAAAGTAAGAAATTGAAAGTTTCTTTTAGGCCAAAGATTTCAAAATATCTAGAAAAAATTTAATCTGACTGAATGAAAGAATTACTTGTTCTAAATAATTATTAATTGTTAGTACCTAAGTAAATCACGAAATCTGTCACTAAATTTGTCTATTTATCTATTTTTTGAAAAATACATCTAATTTATGTATAGGTATCGGTGGAATAATGCTGATGTAAATTATAGCAATTCTCGAGACTAACAAGTTTTACTAGGGAATTTATTTAAATAATCAAAAATGATTAAGATGGAACGAGTAAGTTTGTGGTATTTATGCAAATTTATTATTTATATCTCTACAATTATATGGAAAACAAGTATTAGATTTTTTATCTAATATAAAAGATTAGTAAATGATATGGTGTCCATATAACAATCAGATGAATAATCAGATGTATAAGAATATAGTATAGTTATTTATATAGCAATAAATTTAGAAAATTATTCCAATATTCTGATATTCGTTTTATACTATGTCATATTAATTAAGATTTAAAATTTTCGATTAAATTTTTTGAGTAGTTAGGAAATCGATTATTTTACGGACACTATACTAACATGGTCTAAGAAGTAACCGAATGAAAAAGTTTAACAAACATTCTGAATTGTACTAGACGACTAAAAATACATTATAATACACTTTAATACAATTAGTTACAATAATGATTACTGTATAGATATGACATAGTTCTTAAAAACAATTCCTCATCGCTATAAATATCAATATTTATACCCAATTTATTTTATGTTATCTTAGTAATGCACGCTGCAACCTGCAAGAAGAACGCTCGGTTTATAATTTATTAGACTTAAATCAACGAAAAAGCTTTGTATTCATATTTTATTTAGAATATGATTGTGTTTTAACCGCCGGATCAGAAAATAATAATAAACTGAGTCAATAATAATAAATTATAATAAACACAAATCATATCAGAGCGAAAAGCCTACGACTATAAGTAGAGTTAATCCGCAATGTAAATATTTATTAAATTGTTTAATTAATAATAAATCGAGCGCAGTATTCTAGTACAGATTCACCCCAAAACTACCCTCACAACAACGTCATTTATTAAATATATATTTATATATGGCATATCAGTAACATTAAATGATTCCAAATTTTTGCAAAGATACATCTAATTTATGTATAAGTATCGATTATACATAAAATATGTCACTTTGATTTTTTTTACAAAATTAACATTAAAATCACAGTTTGTGCACAATATAATTTGGTGATTTACATTGAATAATTTTATAATAATTTATTTGATATTTTTTTTAAATTTACATTGAAATTCCTATATATACTAACTTTTAACAATATATTTTCTATAGTACTTATAATACAGTTCATTTTTGCAATCTAAATATTATATTTTAGTCACATAATGACGATTATTCTTAGCAATTATTATTCATGTGTTATTCCAGAAAATTTGCATTGTTTAATTATTTATATATTTTTAACATTAAAATTTTATAACGTCATATATAATGCACTTATAAAATAACTCTTTGCAATATTTTTAATTCCACAATTATCGCAAAGTTATATTAATTTAAATTACAATGTAGATTTTAATAATAAGTTAATTTAGCCGCAGGAAATAGCGCAATGCTATCAATAAAATATAGTGTAAACATTACATTAAGCCGAAAAATTGAAAATATAAATTTATTAATAGTTGAAACATTTTGGACTTCGATACAAAAACGTGATTATAATTTCAAAGCTATATTTAATGTACATTAATAGAGAGTTTTTTTCATTTTGTTTTTATAGAGTTTTTTAATGTTTGTCTGGAAAACGAAAATGTTTGGAGAATCTGCAACAGAATATAAGCATCGAACATTTCCATCATGTGAATCCTTACATAACTACGGTAATTGACTTAATTTACATGGCAATTCGTTTAGAATGCATATATGTACATGCGCAGCATTATATATTTCATGTAATTATGCAAATTATTTTGTAAAATTAATTGAAATACATTACACTTACAATCATGTAGCTATTGAAATTTTAAACATAATTAACTGTCGTATATTTGATACAATCTTCAGAATATCTGAAAGCATTAACTTTCTTTGTATAACTGAACAATAATTGCTAAGAATTATACATTAAAGTAATTTGGCAAAGATTCATACTTCTCACCGTAACTCATATTATATAGGAATTCTATACTGTTAGAATATTTTTGGCATTTTATATCACACAAATGATATCTAAAAAGCAAATTCCAAGCATCAACCCTTCGTCCTAGTGCTATGATAGCGCAGCATTTCAATACATTCTGTGAAAATAATTTATAAAACACCATAATTAAATATACAAGGTAACTAATTTCACTTTCTTGAGTAAAAGTGTGCAATGCACTAAGATAAAAAACCGACCGAAATTCGAAATTCGAAATTTGTACATCAAAATACAATACGGTTTTTAATTTTATAAATTAGTTCGGTATATTTAACATCCATTTACATTCGAGCTGGAATCACTTTTAAATCTTTATTAAATAATCTAACTCATTCTATGTAAGGTAGTACTTTGGGAAAGACAATAAAAAAATGAATAAATCCGCATTATTTTTAACAAATATAATCTATCGTAATAAAATATATTCCTATTTATTAATATAAACGTGCATAATACAAGATTATATATATATATATATATATATATACAAATAGGTCATAGATAAATGGTAGAACAGGAGATTTGGCCAAATCCCTAAAATCGACGAACAGAAGACAATTCATAAATTCCATATTATTATTAGTTTACATATAAAAACTAATAAATATTGTATACTGTTTTCCATCAAAATAATGCATATATTGACGATTATAAATGATTAAAATTTTGCATATAAACTTTAATGTTATATTACTGCATCATTATTTATTGAAAATGCCTTTGCGTGTAAAAACGTATATGAATTTTTGTAGCATATTATTTTTTTTAAAAACTTTGGCTATAAATAAAATTTCAATTACTAATATGAATTAGATGTAACCTAGTCTGCATAATTTGATGTGAATTATAAATCAATCGGTTGTTTTAATAACTTTAACTTGATATTTATATAATCATTCATCACAAACTCGTTCTTAACCAAGAGCATTTTTTCTAAATATAGCTTTGATACCCTCTGTAACAAATTGCAGAAATTATCTATTAACTAGTAAATAGGTTAAAGAGATTATATAATTTTAATGAAAGTTGCAATTCGCTAGAATGGTAATTTAATTTTACGGGTAATTGATAAAAATACTTGCCATTAGTTTATTTAGAAAAATCGACCAGCACTTTATCATACTTTTAATCATCTGCATTAGGGATACAGTCACATATACAATTTCACCATTTTGCTATGACAAAGTAAATATATACGTACATGCTTATATACGCATATATACCTATATACATATATACGCATATATACTTTTATATATATATACATACATATATATATGTATATATATATATATATATATATATATATATATAAATTTACACTGGAATTAACATATCGATATTTAGCTAATGATAATTAACCGTACAACCTTTTAGTCTAAATTTTTAAATTGAGCAAAATATATATCATCGTGTATTGAATAAAAGTTAGTATATCGTACTGAAAACAGTATATATAAACGATATATTTATCAATTATTTAAGAATTATAATAAATGCCTAATGCAAGACGTAAAAAAAATTGACGCCACTACGATAGGTATCCGTAAAAGCGCGCTATTGTGCTGCGAATCTGAAACAAAAATATCATTAGTGGTATTGAACATATGTATGATTTTATATTATTCTGTATGAGTATTATATTAATCTGCATTTATTTATATATAATACATCTATACCCCGTTTTACACGGGGTAACTTTATTTTATTTCGTATAAAACTGTCAGAAAAATTCATCTTCAGAGTTGGAATAACTATTAATTTAACCTATCTCTTGTAAAATAGATTTCTTAAACTTATTTTACATTATTATTTTCTATTTTCTTCCTCATCAGCGTAAGGTTTAATAGTCTCTTTTAACCCAACCGCACGCAAGTTATTCTAGAGGTTATATAAAAAACTATTTGATCTAACTTAAAAAAGTAGTATGAAATAATTAAAATACGTAGGGGAAAGTCCCCTGGTGGCGGACACCTAAGGTTATTTATGAATAAATCAAAAAATATTTTACGAAATGTTTATTAAATTATAATTTATGTTAGAACAAAATTTAGAAATCAAACTAAATTAACAAAACCGCAATCTCTGCTAAAAAATAATTAATACTATCAATCAAACTTTGGTATCAAAAAATATGATTTTAAACAGTGGCACCTAGTACCGGGCATTTTAAAATAACCTGCATTGATCACATATGTAGCCATCTCCACACATTGGAATGTTTGCACATGTGTCTTTGACGAATATTCGTAGATATTGCAAAAAAATCACTATTTATCCACCTTTTTGGCTGAGCCACACCGATGCTCTCAGCTGGATTATTCATTATATGATTTTCATTCTTTGACTAGGAAATACGAAGAATGGGGGTATGTAGTGACCGTTAGCACTCATACAGAACAAAATTGAATAATTGAAATAAATTACGTAAATTCTCACAAGAAATATCAATATGTTTACTGTCCGGGACTAAGGGATGACTCAGTGTGCGGTGCTAAGGGACAGACATTTTCGTTCATTTGGTGGAACCTACTAAAATTGGTTAAAAGATCTAATAATATTCTACCATTTTACGGATAAGTACAACTTTCATCTTAGCATAACACTCAAATGTAAATGCATAAATATGCTAGAATTACTTCCATTGATATTTAGGTTACGCCGTTATTTTGCGCCTAAAACATGAAAGGGTAACTCTCGCCGTGGCCGTGTGCGTCTCAGGCGAGGCTTGGCGCGTGATCCTGTACATGTGTGCCCCCCATGCCCCTTCCACTTGTATTTTGAAATGAAAAGATTTATACTCGCTTAAATAATTCGTGTTAAATAGAGTGTCCGGTTTTTGGTGCCGTCCGGCGTTACGGGACTTCCCCCTACACTTAAGAATTATATTCGCAATCTAAACCACCGGTTTAAAAATAAAAGGGCCCACAACAAAACAAAAATACTTTTGTTAAAAAAGTTAACAAGGTGGCGCCCCTTGATTGCGATGATGTGCAATTTACGGTAACGACTGATTACATTCATTTAGCCTCTACTTTTAAATGCCTTTTGAACCGCGGACCTTTAAGCCCCCCTAAATGAATGAGTTCAAGATAGATTTGATATTAACCATCTTATGTTTTTAGTAGATATTACCTGCGCTATTAGGCCATTCTAATTTCTGGTTCCGCAACTGCTGATGCGACGGCCGCAGTGAGACCGTGACTGAGGCTTGTCTCGCGGGTTGCGACGGAACGACCGCCAGGCAGCGTACGGTGAGTTCGGCGTGAGGGCCGCGAAACAGCCGACGGTCCGCCTGCAGATGCAGGGACACCGATCGCGAGGACACGCCGCCAAACGCATACGTCTGGGATATTGCAGTTGACACCAGCGAAGGATGCGCCTGCTCAGAAATTACAATTAGATTCAGTTTCTAAACATAACACATTATATATACATATAGCTGTAATTGGTAAATGCAGCCGGAAATATATGTTAAATATTTATATTCGAAAATAAAGTGAACCAATGTTAGCGGCTGAGTATATTGTATTTTTTCTCTTATTAATTTATAAAATAAATAATATTTCATTTATAATACACCTATTCCCTGTTGTACACGTTTTCGATCTCACAAGGTGAATAAAATATTTTTTAATTAAATTTTTAACTTTAAACACTAAATAATAATTTGCTTATATCTACTATAACATTTTCATTGTGTTACTGTCAAAACATTTTACAGTTACAAATTCTTAGCACAAAGTTTATGTCTGTAATGGAAAAATGTAGATAAGATGGGGAGTTCCCCCGTAATATGATCAAAACTAAATTTTATGTGTTAAGGTAGTTTCTTTGAATAAAACTAAAACAAAGAGCGTAATAGACTTTAAACTTTATTTTTAATTTTTTTTCATATATGATTATTAACGTGAATTTATTCAATGTGAGCAAATAACAAAATTATTTGTTACAAAATCTATAATTGAAAAAAATATATAGTTCGACAACGGCAAAAGATATAAATAAGAAACCAATAAATGAATAAGTAATAAAAAATCGCTCAATGTATTTGTTATTCATCATATTAAAAACTGAAAAAAAGTTTTTTCATACTGATTTTGGTTTAGCACGGTTTTTTTATATAAAATAAATTTTTAGAGTTTCTAGATTTTAAAACGGGAGATATGTGTAATTATTTTGAATTTATTATTTTGCACAGCAGAATGTAATTAATTCGCATTGTTTATTGTGATAAATGTTTTATTTAAAATGTAGATTATAGAAATAATGGCATTTTTCTGAATAATATAAATATTGATAGTTTTTTTCATTATGTACTTTGAAACAATGTTTTTGTGTGTAAGTTGCAATGCGACATTCGAGCCAAATATAAGGTCTGTTGTTTCACATCGCTCATTAAATTTGTTCCAATATGTATAAATTAAAAATTTTACGGAAATAAATTTTTATTAAGATGAAGAAATATCATAACTACTATCCAATAGTTGTATTGTATATTTTCCATTTACTACCAAAATAACATTAACCGTAACCCCATGAACTTAGTGATTTTTTCCTACATTAACCGTCATTTAATTGCAAAAATTTAGTTTAATAAAATTTTGAAATTCTTAATACTAAAACAGTAAGTTATTATAACAGCAAGTTTAATAAATTCTATACAGATGCAAAAATAAAAATATAATATAAATATGTACTACTTTAAGTTTTTAAATATATAATTTTATCAAGAAAAATTGTACTTAAATCAATAAAAATTGTGTGTATGTTTACGATCACATGTGATAGGAAGTCAAGAGTCTTCAAGGAATTCGATTTGGTGCACTCTGCAAACACGTTGCAGTACTTGTAGGAAAACATTAATCATGAACAAACTTATTTATTTTTGACGTTGTTAAACATGAACCTCGAAACACATTGCGAATTTGAATTTTTGATTATAAAAAAAAAATATATTCTTTATTTCAATTCAGAACAATTCAGGATGTATTATGCTGTATGAAAATGTAAGATACTAAAGACTTTAATTTAGTACATATTACCATATGTTATATGGTAATACATATATAGAAATTCTAGTTACATACAAATTGTATGTTTATAAATACAAATGATGTAAGACAATGCAGAATCACCTTTAAATAAATAACAAATAATTAAACATATTGAGAAAAATATTGCAGACCACGCCTAATTATTACTTAAAAAATACTTTTAATTGGTAATAAACTTACGCATAGAATTTTATTAAACTAAGATAACGAACTAATAATTAGTAGAAAAAATTCTTCAAAAGAAGACAAAACACCATTTACACGCACAATCATTATAGGGACTATGGGCTATCTGTAACAGAAGTAACTAGTAACAGGAATTTTTCAATAGGATCTTAAATGATAATAAAATATTTTTTTGTCTTGATTGGACATGTAAACATTCCTATACAATATTGTCATAGCTATTGTCCCGCAGGCCGATGCAAGAAACAGAACTGTGCAGGTCCATCATTTTTAATGGGTAATATAAAATTGATCTATCATAAAGTTTGGGCTTGCATTATTACTATCGACTAAAATTTCATTTTATACATCATATTTTGTTTCGAATCTATTAATCTTTGATAATGTATCAGTCTTATTTATTTTTTGTGATTGCTAAATTGTAAAAATAGTTATCTCGATTAATGTAAAAAAATTACAACTAGGGTTAGTTGAAACAAAACATTATATACATGTAAAATGCGTTACAAAAGACACTATATCTTTAATTTTGTTTTATGATAATAATTGTGAATTACTTTGATTAGTGATAATAATTTCTATATATTTTAGTTGTGTTAATTATGATTTGCGTTGATTAATAAAGAGAATTAGAGACTTAGAAAAAAGTAAATTTTCTTAAGAGTAAGTAGAGAATAAATGATAAGAGGCATCATTATCTTTGCTTTGGTTTTTACTATTTGACTTAGTAGACGTTACAACTAGCCCCAAACACGGGGTAAGTTGTAACATCACACTTTTTCTAGAAAATGATTAATTGTGAAATAATGAACAATAGTTGTAGAATTATTTTTACTTAATTAGGCAAAGGAATAGTTACAGAAACTTTCTATATTTATTTCCTAGAAATATAATCCGTGGATTTAAAGATATATTAATTAAAAAAAACTGTTACAACCATCCTAGTGAAATAAATCATTTTTATACTAGGTCTACATATCATAAACTTATAATTTAAACGTACAACCACAAATATTATTTAATATTATACAAAGCTTCGCTAACAGCAAGCAGCATTTGATAATGATGGTTCTCATGATATATTAAGTAACTTCATAGATTTTTTTACAATCAACTCATAGAGTTGTTATAGTGAATTGCTTGATGTACGCACCTGCTCATCGTTGATAAACCAAGTGACTCTGGCAGGTGGGTCCGACTTGTCGGCCGTGCAGTTTGCTATGACCATGTCGCCCACGGAATAGTGCTCGGCTAGGCCATGTATTATGGGATCTCGACGAGGCAAAACTAATAAACAATTATTGATTACATACTTCTTAATTTCAACTATTCAACATTACCAACAGCAAACTATTTTTATGCAAGCTTATAACAATAAATATTGCAATTGATAATATTGAATATCGTTTTGTCTCAAAAAAAGTTTAAAAACATTTACACATATATAGGTGCTATATTATATTTGGAAAATGCTATAAATAAAAATATTTAAATATTGTTTCACACAATCGATGTACTTGAATATTGGACCGATAGTGTAGCCTACAGCATTGCCAGCCGAGGCAAAATTATTTTCCATTATTAACCAGGCGGATTGTACTTTCAAATAAAAAAGAAATTTGGGAAAATATTCAGTAGTTTCATTATATCATTTTTTTACTTACGTGGCGAACCTTATATTATATAATTTCAAAATTGTGACGTGCAACTGGAATTGCTACTAATGGTTTCTTTATGCAAAAATATGTTTGTTTTTAGACGATTAACAAATAAAGTTGCACAGTCAGAGTTTCCAATATAGTTAGGATAAAAAATTATACAAATTTTCATATTGCCAGCACCCTTTGTTAAAATGCCATGCGATGCTTATTAACTTCCCGTGGGGTAAGTTATTGTAATCATCCAAGAATCGGAATTGAAAAGTTTAGCATATCTTCACGTTTTGAAAGTTTCTGAACATTTTGCCATACCTCAGAAAAAATGGAAGTGTGTGTGTTCATTTATTTATGGATACAATTTTTGTCCACGTTTTCAGGCGCACGGATTAACCGATTTGAATGGTTCAAAAAGCATTCGATTCCAATTAATAGGGAGATGTGCTAATTAGTTTTTTTTGCGGAGGTAGGTCCAGCCGTTTCGGAGATACGGAGCAAAGAGTTTAGAAAATTGAAATCGAGTTTCATCCGATTCTAATGATTCAAAAAACATTCCAATTATAACGATGAGGAGAAGTGGTGATTAGTCTTTGGCATACAGAGCTAAATGTGCAAAAAATGGCAGTTTTTGAGAAAACTAAGCCGATTTGTTGATTTGATTCAAAAAACTTTCTGATTATGTTGACGAAACTATTACTTTTGAGAACAGAAAAAAAATAATTTTTTAATTTACAAAAAAAAAATTTTTTTTGAACATCGAAAATAATTCGAATTTTAATTTTAATTCTAGCTTTAGTTTTAAAGCACTGTTTACATATATACTTTAAATAAAAAAAAGATTTTGCAATTCAGTTTATATAATTCTTATAAATATTAGACAATTTCCTTTATTTTAAATTTGATTGATTAAGTTTTGCTTATTCACTTTTCTGTAATACTTATACAAACGCCGTCGTAAATAAGAATAATACAGTAAATAATAAAAACAGTATTTATAATAATCAATTTGAAAACATTCAATATTACTCGAATTTTTCGTTAGGGTACAGGTAGTTCCAGCAATTTGCTTTAAGGCACGATGCCATGAACCACTAGTTTATTTATTTATTCATTGCTTGATTTATTGAAAGCCATTTTTAAAGACTTGGCCGTCAATATAATAATATAATATCATAGTATAATTAATTTGAACAAAATTATACAAAAATTGACTCAATAGAGAAAAATTTAATTCAATCACAATCCGACATTTTTGACTATTTATCAGTAAACAGTATTGACATAATAAAAAGGATTCCATTTTTACGATTCTCAAAGAATGTTTCAAATAATATTATTGTAAAATAGAACTCAACATTTGGTTTCACTAAATCACATAATGAAATAATCAAAAACGTGCGGCAATTGAAAGCGTGTTTATATTATCGGTTAATAACCTAACATAAACGCCACCGCTAAATGGAAAGTCGTTCGCGCAATATAACCACGGAGTACTAATAACTAATTTATGGTTTGTGGGTTCAACGTTAAATCAATATTGTTATGGCGAGCTTGAAATTATGTAAAAAGTAAATCTTTCACAAGTTACTCAAGTTACTATTCATTGCAGTCAATTTGTCATTAGTTGTATAATTTTTGCTTTTCACTGTCCGTCACGATATGCAAATTGATAAACTGCATAATAGTTAAAAATTTATGAAATTAGTGGTGCAAAGAATTTTACCTTAAGTGGACAATATTCTAAATATTCTTTTTAAATCATTGTAAAACCAATTTTTATACTATCATCTTTTTAACATCCCTTAGGGTGAGTTATAGTAATCGCAAAAAATCGAAAATATTTTTTTTGCATATCTGTATATTTTGGCACACCTTAGAAAAATTGATGTATGTGTGTATATATGTGTGTCTGTATATCAAATGATTGTAGTCAACTTATTTATTAGTACTATTATCGTTATCATTTTCTCTTAAATATAAGATCAAAATTTGTTTTTGGTCATAGATTGGCAATATGATGCCCTGTTTAAATATTAAATTATAATCAATAGATTATAGAAGTATATTATATCCGGCAAGTAATTGGAGAACCTGGTATCAAAAGCAGCGTCTAGAGAGCTAATTGATTATTTAATGTTATTCAATCCGTCGATACAAGTAAAATGTTTTTTGAATCATTCAAATCGGACGCTTTTCTTCCTTTAAAAACTGATGTCATTTCTTACACTTTTTTGCGCCGTATCTTCGGAACGAGTGAATCCGCCATTACCAAAAACTAATGAGCATGTCTTCTCATCAATAAGAACAATGTTTTCTAAAGTAGGGTAGGGCAAATTTTTACTTAAACGGATGTAGCCTCTCAATGAAAAGTCTCAATAAATTGCTATACGGCCTAATGGATTTGTTGTTTATCGCTTAACAAAAGTGTTAATACTACTTTTTGGTAATAAGTAAAATTTAAAAGCTACAGCTGTTTAAATGCAAAAAGTCAAGTATGCTCAATATGGTGGGGCAAGTTGAGCACTAAGAAAATATGATGAAATCATAGGTTCAATGTCGATTAGTGATGAAATAAAATAAGTTTTTAATAACCAGTTCTATATTTATAGTCTTTATTGACAGAGAAAACAAAACTTATAATAATTTTCTTTGAATAATTATCGAAAAGTAGATTCTACAAAACAATATCGTATCTTAGGAATTATTTTACCATTATATTCAGTATTTTTGTATAAAATCATTATTTCTTTATATTATTACTCACAGACTTAGCTTAAATCTTAAAAATAATAATTAATTTCTGGAAGTTAATGGGAATTGTCTTAGTGACAGAACAAGTTTACCAGCTATGCTTAACTAACCCCAACTCGGAATTTCAAAATAAATGTGAGTTTATAAAAAAAAAACGTGATAATTATACCCAGAATCTCTGAGCATATTAAAAGTACTATAATTATAAGGAAGTATAACATTTACCTGTTTAAAATTAAATAACATTTGACTAAACCAGACGAAAACTCGTGATGAATTTTTTTTTACTTTCTGGTCTCATAATAAACAAAACGCCCGTGATCCTCACTCATTTGTCCAGCGGCCACTAGCGATCGCGGTATGTTTATTTCTCTCAGACCTCTATCTTTTCGCCATATAATGCCTAAACGGACGGTGAATAGTTTTCGAGATATTTCGATTGCTCAACTTGCCCCTATGCTCAACTAGACCCGCCCTACCCTATACTAAATGGTCTTCTATAGATATGCCACTTGTTTTATTAATAAATCACTATTAAATTATTAATTGTTAATAAGAATAAATTATCACTTACTAGCTATAGACATGTTCGCAGCTTTGTGGGCTATGTGGAAGGTAGGGGCTTCTGTGGAGACTTCGCACCGATAGGAGCCTTTGGTGGTGGCGTCCAACCGCTGCAACGTAACGGAGCATTGGGAGTCGTCACACAGATCCAGCGGTCGCCGAACTCGGACACCAGTCACTGGAAATGTCAACGTGGATGGACTCTGTGCAGGAGCGTACCTGATGAAAAAACAATCAGTCTTAGTTTCAAATATGGAATATTCATTCAAACATGGAATTGAAAATGATTTTTAATATATACTTTTCAGTATGGGTTCATTCATGTTTTCATAATATTCACTTCGCAAGATCTAATCTGTTCGTAACTACCGTAAAAATGCTATATATATACACTAGCTATATATCCTGGCAAACGTTTTTTAACCATACAAAACTGATAAAAGATCAAAATCTTGTATATCAAAATATGCCAATTAAATTTAAATTAAATTATATTTAGATTATGTAGAACATTTATTTGTAGCATGCGTTCCAGTGAGTGAACCACCAATTTGATTTGTGTTAGCTATCCCTTTCAATGCGGAATCAATTATTTTTTATACTGAATTTTTTCTATTTTTTTTTCTTCTTTCTGACTAAACTTTTCTGAATTTCTTTTTTTTTATGACTAAACAATGTTTGGCGGGCTAGCTTGCGAATATGAATTATAATATTCAAAAATTTTTTCATGCTCTTTCCATACGAAGTTTGATTGAATTGCGCTCTATCTAAACGTTAATATTAAGAGCTAAGTTTCAGAGAATTGTTTTTTATCAATTTGGAACCATTTGAGTCCTGGGAGCAAGGAAATTCGAAAATGATAATTTTAAGAACCACCCTAATATATATATATATATATATATATATATTTATTTATTTATTTATTTATTTATAACATATATAAATGATTATATGCCTACAAACCACACTCTTTAGCTCTTTAGAAAATGAAGATATTATTTAATTGTAGTATAGACACAAACCATTTACATCGTGCAGATGGCGGAACGAGTTTTACATGATAAAGGCTACATAATCGTTTATATACTTCGGTATCATTATAATATCTGAGTTTTTAGGAAATTGCAAAAACTTTAGACTATCAGTAAATAATCGACTTGATTAATAAGAATTGAGATAAAACAACTCTTAAAATTATGACGGTATTTTAAATGTGGATGAATTTTTTATAATGAAACCACTTTTCTTGGACCTTAAATTTATATTATATTATTCGTTAAGACAATGAACTCTGTCATCATAAAAAGGTTTATTAACACTTTGCCGTCCGCACGTCTTGTAAAAATTTATTCGCTTGGCGCCGGTAGTGCTAATTCGTTATCACTTTGCTTGTCCCCGCCCATTCTGAATATTATCGAAAAATTATAATTTTTTAGTTCTTACTAATGTTGAGGGGTGTAACTTTTTGTTATCTAAATTAAAACACCAACAGGATGGAAAGATTTCTGCCACTGGCCAAAGGAAGATACTGTGCTCATGACACCACTGTGGTGTCGCCGGCTGTTAAGCGCTAGTTCGCGCTCGACACCACTGTGGTGTCGCCGGACGGCATAGTGTTAAGATCGCTCTTTTATTTCAAGAATCATTTTCGAAAATTTTCGAAACCTAACAAACTTTTAAATTTGTTTTAACGAATTTTCAAAATTTATCAAAATTTATTCAGAATTTTTGGCAAAATGTAGAGTGCAATTTTCAAATGCAGAATAGTTAATACTAATTATTTATTTGAATATTATACATAAAGGGTAAAGCGAGACTTAAAATTTCGCTGGTAAAAAAGTCCACCACCGATATCTGAAAATAAAGTAAAGTTAAGAATTTTTTAACAACAATATTGGAAGTAGAAGGCAAAAGATGTAAAACCAGCCATTATCTTGATTCTTACGACGTCAGAAGAAAAACGACAACGTTTAAAAATTTATAACAAAAGTATTCTCTATCGTTGTTAGTTTTTTTGTTTGTGAGTACCGTTGTTTAGTTTTCGAGACCTCAATGCAATTTTGATAGTCTTATAAGATGTATTGTTAATTTTAAGTTAGATTTAACAGTTTTTTTATATAATCTCTATAAAGACTTATACGTGAGTAAAGTAAAAAGGACCTACTGAACCTTTATTCTGGCAAATGCGTACTCAAATAAAAGTTAATCAAGTTAAAAAAATTTTTTTTTTCAAGTTATAAATAATTAGTTATTCCAACTTCGCTGATGAATATTTCTGGCGAAATATCAGGACAAGGTTGTATACAGTGTTATCTCTGTAAAAATATACTCATAAAACTTTGCATTGGTTGAATTATTATTTCGCAAAATATCTTTAAATTTGGAATTAAAACATTGGATTTGTTTCACCCCTGACCAACCCATTTTATCCCGCCACTGGGTAAAAAGAACCAAGTGACAAATTATTTAAAAACAACAAAAAACACATATGTATATACAAAGATAAATTAGGAGCGAGTTTTACTGAACATGGTTAGATAGTTGTTAAGTTTGATATGTGTTATTTGTTTTAGTTTTCACAATATAATTTCCCAGAGTCAAATTGGACCGCCATATCCTTTGGCAATATTCTACACTTTGAAGGATTATAACGGCAAAACAAAGCAGATGCATTAGGAATCATAATACTTGGCTCTTGTTTTATATGCAAATGATATGCAAGCAATTTCTTCGTAAGTTTTCAAAACGTATACAAGAACGTTCATTTTTTGTCTGCATCAATACAAAATGACATTGTGCATGAAAATACTATATTTCATCGAATATTGTGCAAACAGCATCGTAGCGGAACGATCGCTGGAACATTGCGTTGCGAGTTTTTATCACGACATCAAATATTTTACGTGGTCATGGAAATATGAAGATCGCGAAACACCCTCCGGAGAACGGGCGGAGAACACGTCGTCATTTTAATGAGCTGACCGCTGAAACCGAGTAAGATTTCAGGGACGCATTCACCACGTCAGAAAATATAGCTTTTAGACCAAGGATGAGCAACCCGCCGGATGTTTTTCTGCGGCCCGCCAAGCGTTTCTCAACCAGAGATTATTAACTTCCCGTAGGGTAATTTTTCTATATATTTTAACAAATACGGCTGTAAAGGATAATTTTGTTGTCAGTAAATTTTATAGAGTCGCGAGGGTTAAATCACCGTAAATTTAAAGAATTTCTGAACAATTTAAAGCGTGTATATAGCGATGCTTTTTAATACCCAAGTACGCTAGCTCAATAGTGATGCAATGCTTAAAGGAGTATACAACCCAAATGGCGAACTACAATTGTTTTGGATATGAAAGAATAATTGTAGTACTTTCGTCATTTTGGTAATGAAGAATAATATCTTCTGCGGGATCTTGTGTTTCACTTTCCATATTTAGAAAAATAGAATGTGAACAAATTTTATTTAATTTGTTTTCTTTGCCATTTAACATCGATGTAGGTACACTGTATGAAAACCATAACAGAAAGTGATCAAAAAGCATGCAAAATAATACAGATTAAAAAAATGTATTTTTTCGGTAAACATCGAAATTTTTTATAAAACTCATGTCAGCTATGAGAAATTTTTGCTTTTGAAAAAAAACGCAAAGAAAATTATGATATTTTTTTGAAGTACGTATGTGTGCAAATAATTACACAGGTCCATAAAAGAAAAGCTGCTGAAAAATAATTAATTGATTTAGGAAAATTTATGTATTGAAGATTTGCCAGTTTTCAAATATTTTGCGTACCAATTTTGACTATAGATTTATCTTCAGCGGTAAAAGGTACATGGGATAACTTTTTTGTAGATCTGTGTTAATTTCAACCTTGAAATTCATAAAAAAAATTCCACCGATCAAAATTGAGTGAAATATGTCAAAGCTGCGTACGCAATAAAAATAAAATAAAATGAAGAACAAGATTTGAAAAAAAGGCTGATATTGATCAGCTTATATAGAAAAGCAGTGCCAAAATTTTCATTAAAGTTTTCAAGTAAATTAGTTTCACTGTTTAAATATTATTTGTTTTCATTTTATATAAATAATTATATACACTTATAATATACACTCGTAATTAAATAAAATATACTTTTTTTCAATTTTGTATATTTGTTTTTTTCTTGTTGCAATTTTGTAATTTTGTTGCAGATACATTATTCCCGCACTCAGTCAATGAATCTTTTTGACTTAATTTTAGTTCAGACTTTTGAGTTTATGAAAAATCTTTAATTTTATTCAAAAAGAAAAAGCAAATTATTTTTTCATGGGTTGTACAACCGTAACATTGTTTTTAAATTTTATTCTTTATTTTCATTTTATTTAATGCGGAATGGAAAACTACATGCAACTCCAAATTTCACTCTCTTATTTTATAATAGTCATTTTACCTCGATAATCGATCAATTAACAATGATCGTCTTTTTTGTGAATGTTTTTAATTAAAATTCGATCAAGATTTTTCTGAGCTTATAAAAAAGCTTAAATTTCTCCGCTCTATTCGTTGCAATATTATAAATCAATTCTTAGATATTGGCAACGAAATGGTTACATCCGATAAAACTAACTGATTTGCAGTCTTATCCTATTGTACAAACATTTTACGATGTGCATAATAAGTACATAGTTTTTGAATGTCTTGCAAAAGGAGCAATAAAAGCAAATAAAAGTTAAAATTTAATATTAAAATCTGAAGATAAAACTGTTTTTAAAAGAAAATTAGATTTTTTTAGAGTTACGAAAATCTCACTCGTTTCGCTAAGCCTAGCATAACATAATACAAATATCAATGTATTTTTGTGTAAGCTACCCCTTTCATTTATATACTACACATTTATTACATTTTTTACACTAATGATTTTCTAAAAATATTTCCTGAGGCAAAACGTTTGCCGGGTCAGCTAGTATATATAAATTACGTGCGGCCCGCCATGAAATTTTAAAATTGAAATTGGCCCGTGGGTTAAAAAGGTTGCTCGCCCTTGTTTTAGACATTTTCTTCATTCTAGGACACTTTTTCACAATTAACACTAAACCTATCGACAATTTTACTACACCTATGCTCATCGCGACCTATAATTAAAAAGTTTTCTATTACATTATTCAATTCAGATAATAATTGATTTGTTGCTTAATGTATATACGAAAGAAATTTACATGAAGTTTCGTCTAAAATTATTT